ATTAATATATTTAATCAGTGGAAACGAATTAATTGTAATTCGGAGCTAAATGGGGAGAGCAATAATATTACTCTAGTGGAATGTTTTATTATTTAATTCCAAGATTATGAATTAGGAATTAATTATATTCCATAATTCCCTAAGGATGGGAATATTTTTTCTAGAATATTACCTAGGGTTAGGAGATTATGAGTCTTCTAGAAGGTAATTAATTATTAGGAATATTATCCTAGATGGGAAAAAGGAGATGGAAGATAATAAAGATTCCTAAACCTTAAAGAATAAGCCCATATTTAGCACCTTTTTTAGGTCCCTATTGTAGCCTATAAATACAGTAGGTCCCCTAACCTCTTGGATATGCTTCACACGTTTTTCTCCCCGAAGGGCTGGAGAAATTCGGCCTCTTCAAGCGAGAAAAAAGAGAGAGATTCTTCTTCAAGAGAAAATTCGGTTAGCGCCATAAGGTCTTAGAAGAAGATGATCAAGAGGTTTTGGGAAATCTAATAAATCGCTCCACCAAGATTTATTAGAGATCGTGTAAAGGTCATACAATAGAAGATTCGAAGGTTGTTGATTCGTATTCATTTCGATATATTATTTTCGCGGTCAGGTTCTTCATTGATCGTTCAGGCTAAATTGACAGAACACAATGGGTAGCGCGATGTTGTGCGGCGCGTTCTTCTCTCTGCGAGGTCGCGTGTTCGATCTTTACTCCTTCTGTAAATAGGAGACTTCTTTTTTGTCACCAGATGAAGAGAAAGAAAACGCGCGGGCCGTGCGGCCCGCGTCCAGGCCCGCGCCTCTCACAGTCCCAGCCCGCGCGCCCGAAGACAGCCCGCGAGCGGCCCGACCAAGCCCGCGTGAGCCCAGCTTCCTTAGCCCGTGCCCAGCGGCCCAACAGCGACGAGATTTCGGCCCAGTTGCTTCCAGCGTGGGCCAGGTGGAGTCCACTGGCTCCAGGCAGCCCTGATCGCGTTCAGCTCGGGTCCAGCGACTACCAGACCGCCCCAGACCGGTCCAGCACACTTCAGAACGGTCCAGCTTGGTCCAGAAGCCCCAGTTTGAGTCCAAGATGGTTCCCGAGCAACCCGACTTACTCTCTGAAGGTCCAAGACGATCCGATGAGCTTGATGAGCGATTGGAGCACCATAGTGACTCGATTAGAATAGAGAAAAGCCAAGTCTAGCCGCCCATTAGACTTTGGTGTTCAGACGATCTCCAGCAACGGAAATCAGAAAAGTCTCAGAGTCGGCAAAAATTTTAAACCGTAAGTCCTAATCCTAACTATAGATTCCGCTGCGTTAGGATTTATTATTCAATAGATTTGAATGTGCACATTGTCGACGTTCCTAATAGAACCCAACAACATATTCATGGTTCATCCTGATTCAGTCAGACAATTCCAGACATATTACTTGTATGTTGGCATCGATTCCACCTACAAAACCAACAGGTGTGTTAATTTATAAATACGTTATTAGTATGAATTTAAATTAATATGTTCGATTAAATTTTATGTGATTATATTTTTTGTCTTTTGGTCTCATTTTGCACAGGTACAAGATACCGTTGATCGAAATGATTGGCATGACTCTGTAAGAGGGAGCCGTAACTAGTAATAGGAGGCGGTAAATAGTGATTCACAATATAAATTATTATTTTTTAATTTAAATGATTTAATTTAAGCAAGAAGGTCGTTAAAACTGAACTACCACTAAATAAAGGAAAGCGCTAAAAAAATTAGACCAACTGATGCTGCCTCTGTAGGAGTTAATCAATGACTTCGATTTGTCGGAAAGGGCTCGCCGGATTTTCTACCAATTTGATTTTTGGAAAATGGAAGGCGGGATCTTCTGTTCATGAATTTTCCAGTCGATTTAGGGTTTATCCAATCGGAGCCGCTCGCCGGATGAACACGGCGGCCGACACCGTGATTTCAGATCCCACAGAACAAAAGATTGCATCTTTAGCATCTCCTTGGTTGATGCTGTCTTCCGTCTTCGAAGGCGGCACCAACACTGCCCCAACCATGCGTTACAAGTTCTGCAGCCTCTCGGCAGACACAGTGGTGTCTACAACCGCGAAAAAGGATTTCATGGGAGATATGATGGATATTGTGGGTTCCTCTCACGGTTGGCTTTCCCTGCTCAACCCCAACACCCGAAAAAATGTTCCTCTACAACCCCATCTCCGACTGCTACATAAAGCTTCCCCCATTGCACAACCTGCCGGCTGCCTCCCGCAACAGCACGATGCGTGTGTATAAGGTAATCCTATCATGCTCCCCGGATGATGATGAACAAAATTGTTGTGCCGTCATGACTAACAATTGCCCAGCTGCCATGGCCTACTGCTGCCCTGGGTCCAGCAAGTAGTGGACCTGTATTGTTGATGGGAAGACAAGCACCAGTGTCGCTTTAAGGTACAAGAATTGTGTATATTCCAAAGAACACCAACTCTTGTTTGCCCTCACCTGGTCTTATGACTTGGTGTCTTGGTGTTGGGAATTCCGACCACACCGAAACTCCGCCCAGGATTCGCTGAAAATAATAAAACTGGAGACCACAAAGTTTAACGTGGAAAACCCTCTGTTAACGAAGAGGGAAAAATCACCAGGGCAACAAGGCCGTAGAAAATCCACTATGTAAAAAATTACATAATTTTTCTACACTCACTTATACCCAAAATTACCCCACAGAATTTTCTATCCGTTAACCCTAACTCTCACCCTAAGGAATTTTTAACCAGAGATTAACTGTTAACACAATAACTCTGTGCGATGATTTTACATAAGAAGTAGCACCTCCTTATATAGGGAAAAACTCCCCCCCTCTCTCATCCCATAACTGATGTGGGACAAAAGAGCTAAAAACCCAACAAACTCCACCTTGCGATTTTGGCCCATCTGACAGCCACTATTCACTTTGATGAAATTTTTCATAGCTTTCGCTATCATGCTCCACCATAAAAGCATATCCACTCGGACTCGCATCCAAGCATTTCTTCGGCCCATGTCGAAATAACCTTGCTGAAATCTATGGTGCAACTTCCACGTTTGGCTTTCCTGGAAGTTCATCAGCCCTCGACACGCTTTTTCCACCACACACCTTGCATCACCGCCAAACCAATGCCTGTGTGTAAACTGTGGACCCGCTAATTGCAACACGTCCTCTTTCATGACACTTAGAGACATGCCATAAGGACTCCCCTTTTCTCTCTTAGCAAAACTCATCCATGGAGAGAGAGAGAGAGAGACAAAATTAGCTTCTTCGGTATCTCCACTTACCGACTTGGAGCTTTTTGCCGAACCTGCTCCTCCTTTCGGACAATATCTTTCACGTGCCCAGATTGTTCACACGTCCAGCAAATCACGACTTGCTTCTTCCTGGAGTTCCTCTTCTTTCCGTCACCGACGAGCATGACTTAACCTTCCGGTGAATTGTTTCGTCCACCATCTAGCCTTCTCTCTTCCACAAGAAGTTTACCAGTGACTTCAGAAAATACAATTTTCTCCTTCCCATGAATCAAGATCGGCTTCATGTGTTCATAAGAAGTTGGAAGAGACCAGATGAGTCTCAACGCCTGATCCTCATCATCAATCTTCACTCCAATGGATTCGAGCTCTGAGACGATCCCCTTGAGAACACTTAAGTGGTCTGAGATGCTTTGACCTTCAGTCATTCGCAGTGTGTGAAACTGCTCCTTCAGATACACCCGATTTGAGACGCCTTTAGCCTGATACAACTCCTCAAGCTGGTCCCATAATGCTTTTGCCATCGAAATTCCATGCACATTAGCAAGAACATTCTTGGCCAAACACAGTTGTATCGTGCTTGCCGCTCTCAAATCCAGTTCCTCCCAATCTTCATCGCTCATTCCAGATTTGCTCACACCAGCTTTTTCTTCAGTGCTGCTGGTAGCACTGCCTTTGGAAATTTCCGAGCCCTTCAAAGCTTTGTGTAACCCCGACTGAATCAGCATGTCCTTCACTTGCACTTGCCACAAGCCAAAGTTGATTTTTCCGTCGATTTTCTCCACATCAAATATCGCCAGATTCGATATCTTATTTCCAGACATCTTCGTAAATTAGTGAACACTAACTTCGCAGAAAACCGAGCAGCAACCTTGAATAGTACTGATCAGATAAATTCTCAGGGAGGGTAGCGACCTACCCCCTAAAGAATTACCCTTCTAAGTAAGCTCTCAGGAAAGGCTGGTGGGGTCACAATGGTCCCACTTAAAAACCAGTCTCCTACACATAACCTACTTACACAGTAACTATTCCCTCCACTGCCCAAAAAACTCCTCTGCGCACAAGCTCCCCCCGTCACTGGCTCCACCGCACGAACATACCTCTTTGGTATCTTTTCTGATGTGGAAGATCAGACAAAACTGCAACCACAGAGCATACTCAGAATACCAACTAGGCTAACCTCGCTCTGATACCACTTGTTGGGAATTCCGACCACACCAAAACTCCGCCCAAGATCCACTGAAAATAATAAAACTGGAGACCACAAAGTTTAACATGGAAAACCCTCTGTTAACAAAGAGGGAAAAACCACCAGGGCAACAAGGCCGTAGAAAATCCACTATGTAAAAAATTATATAATTTTTCTACACTCACTTATACCCAAAATTACCCCACAGAATTTTCTATCCGTTAACCCTAACTCTCACCCTAAGGAATTTTTAACCAGAAATTAATTGTTAACACAATAACTTTGTGGGATGATTTTATATAAGAAGTAGCACCTTCTTATATAGGGAAAAACTCTCCCCTCTCTCATCCCATAATCAATGTGGGACAAAAGAGCAAAAAACCCAACACTTGTGACCTTGGGGACCCTCTGTCCCCGAGTCTCGTTGACTGCAAGAAATTAGATTTTCCAGAGGAAAAGAATCTGTGGCATCCCAAAAACCTGATTTGTGAGTCCGTGGAGCATCTGGTGGCTGCTGGGGAGGACCTTCTCTTGGTGACTCAGTATGTGCTGATGAGCATGCTCCCCGACAGTTTGTATATTGACTCGAACAACGATCCCACCGGCTCTATCTACGAACAAGGCTTTCCGGATGTGACTATTGATTTTGATGTTGAGAGATATGATCCTGCCACTGCGGGTGTTGAGTGTGTGGAGAATTCGTTTCTAGGTGGGTGGGCTCTGTTTGTTGGCTTCTACAGCGATGCAGTTGCTTTGCCAGTGGCCCATTACCCAGAGGTTGTCAAGCTCGGATCAATTTACTTCGATGTTTTAGGAGGCCATGACGTTGGCATTTTCAGTTATGGAAACAAGATGGTGTCTCCGTGCTACTATCCATGTAATGCTCAGAGCTTGAAAAAGATTTGTCCGGCACCTATGTGGTACGTCCCAAGTCGTGGCTGATTTGGATTCTTATGTTTTCCTAGTAATTTCAGTTTGGTTTTCATTTTAAACTTTTTGCTAGCATGGCTCTGGTATTGTCTGGTACAAACTCATTCCTTTTTCTAGTTCTAGCTGGTGTTTCTCTAAAATCAATAATTTTTGTTGTGGGTTTTGTGGTTTAATTGTTACCCAAGCTTAGCATTGATTGAATATCAGGTTGTAATTGGTGAGTATATTGGAAGTCAACATTATCATTCGATGTACTGTTCTAGCTTTTGACGGGTAGTTCTGGCAAGTATAAGCCATTTAGTAGGATAAGTGCTATTGTTAGACTGATTGACCAGTTTCTCAGCTACCAGGACATGATAATGTAGTTGATTTCTAGTTAACGGTTATGAGCCTCTTATCTTGTGTGGGCAGCGGTGGGTTTCAGGATCGCAGTGCTTACTCAGATTGTTCGGGAGGTTTGATCGAGTTTGTATTCATTTATAGCAGTTATGGAGCACGAAGTCATTGACAAACTTCATAAGTTCGATTTATCCGACAAAGAAAGATCAGGAATCGAAATAGCAGAAATCGATATTGAGCCCGGAATACAGGAGTGTTCGCTTAGTCTAATTGGCAAGATCCTCTATAATCTATATCTATAACTATCTATAATCTATATCTATAATCTACCTAATCTATAATCTCTCTATAATCTATAATCTATAACCTATAACTAACTTAAAAGGATGGTTTGCTTGTTTATGAAATAATTTACTCACTCTTATTTCAACTCAAAATTTAACTCAACTTTAACTCGACTCTACTATCATTAATATTATTCATATAATTAAGTAATACAAACCAATCATTCTTACACATCACATTAACTTGAATTCACTATTCATCCACTCACATATTTTTAACTACCAATCATTTCCAATCATTTATCTCTTACTTTTATATCAAATCAATTTTAATCATTTTATTTTAAATATTATTTTAATACATTCTTAAAATTTCACTAATAACGAACCATACCACTTTTCAAAATTAACTATGGTTTAACTAAAATAACTCACTTTGAACAATTATTTCATAAACAATCAAGCCCTGTGTCATTTCTTGAAAAATTGAAATGCCTATATTACACTCTAGAGATTTACTTTTTAAGGACATAAATGTAATAATATTACTTCATTACTATCTCATCAAACCACATGTAATAAAATCTAAAATGTCACGGCTACCCTCAAAAGTGTTATTATTACTTCCAAAAATTATATTATGTCTTATCTAAAATGTCACTACTACCCTCAAAAGTGTTATATTATATTACTTCCGAAAAGTTATATTATGTCTTATTCTAAATACATTTACAACTTATAATATAAACAATTAAAATCATTTCAACTAACAATTTAAATTTTAATAACAATAATTGAAATATTAAAACACATGAGTTAATATAACGTTTCAAATAAAACGTTTTAAAGCATGAATGTGATGACATATTACTCAATTTTTTCTTATAATATTCGTTGTATTTTATAATTAATAATTTTTTATAATAATAGTCTATTAAAAAAATTGTTTGTATCCAATTTTTTAAATGAATGTATTGGCGCAACTACATAACTAAGATTTTACCCGAAGCATTTCGTCGATTACTACGCCCTTCTATGTACAAATATTAAAAATTCTTGTAATGCAAAGTCAATAAAATAATTAAAAAAAATTAATCCATTGATCTGACCTTTTATTGAAATCAAACATTCTATTTAACTGTTTTTGTTTTTTCAATTGTCATAATGTATGAATCTTATTTATTCTAATTGTATTTTTTACTATTAATATTTTATTCAATTAACCTATGGTTCTCATTGATTTTTGTTATTTACAAACTGTTTGTAAGTTATTTTTTTAATTAATTTTTCTTAATATTACTGTATTAAAATAATTTATGATAATATTATAACTTCATTACTATCTCATTCAACCACATGTAAACAAAATCTAAAATGTCACTACTACCCTCAGAACTCAAAAGTGTTATATTATGTTACTTCCATAAAGTCATATTATGTCTCATTCTAAATACCTTTACTGCTTATAATATAAATAATTAAAATTGTTTCAAATTACAATTTAAATTTTAATTGAAATAATTAAATTTTTTTCTGTTGAATAACTATTTTTGATTCAATTATTTTTAAACATATACATGATCACTAAATTCTTCCTCTTTAATTTATAGTGAAATATGATATCTATAGTAAAATATGATAAATATAAAATAAAATAACCAAAACTTGATTTTAAATCTTGAATTTTAAAATACGTGTAATACGGGGTTTAGGGGTTTGGTCGAAGGGGCTTGGTCTTTTCCCGGGACCGGATGAAAAAAACGCTTATTTAGTCTTAGAGTGGGTGCTAGCTTTACATCTCGCTTACCTTACTTAATTAACATCAAGCCTCTCTCTCCAACTGGACAAAAAAATGCCTTGCGCTCACGGCCGCTATCGATGGAGGAGCTGGCAGTAGCTGAACTCTGGGAGAGACTGGAAGAGGCCGCGGGAGAGGGGAAAGGTACTGGTGTTGCTAAGCGCCATCCGCCTTCCTACGGGAGCTATGAGCTAATATCCCTCATGTGCGGTAAATGACACGGAAAGTATACACCGTAGGTCCATCTTTCCTTGCCCGCCAGGGCTCAATGAAGACGATCTGGGTTGTTAAAAGAGCTAACCTCCAAGGACAGCTAGTTTCGTAATGTGTCTGAGTGCATGAAAGAGAGCGCTGGAAATCGTTTACTATGATAAAGAGAGCCCTCCCTTCCTCAATTACATCGAACCTCGCTCTGCCAAAGAAAAAGAAAAATAGGCGCTATGTAAATAGCCCTGTATAGCTTACAAAGCCTAGGCCAGTGAAAGACGGGGGCATTTAACGACCCGACACAGGAAAAAGCGATAGGCGAGAGGGCAAAGACTGAACCTATCCCCTTAGTAAGGGAGAACGGGCACTGCCAAAGCAGCTTTCTCTTCTAGGTCTAGGAAAGAACATCGTCCTGACAGACACGACTGGATTCGATTGATTGAAAGCCTTAGCTTGAGCCTTTTATCACTATCAAATAGAAAAAGGAAAAAGCACCACAAAAGGACCCCTGACTTATTAGCGAGAGTCGAGAATTCAAACCCCCTCGGGAGAAAGTGGTGATGATTGCCATGAATGCTGCTTCCAACCAAGATACTGTTCTCCTCGATGCGGTTCTTTTCCCGCGAGTTATATTGTGCTTTCATACCCGGACTTCGCATATTACTTGGCACCTGCCTTCAAAGACATCTCTGCAAATAGCGGAAGTAATGTGATGTCTGATCTTTATCCACTTCTCAAAAATAGGAAAAATAAAATATATAAAATTTTGACGAATATATAAAAAAACATTAAGATAAAAGTAAAATATTAAAGAATCATTATTTTATATTCATTGTGATATTATTTAAGTTTACAATGGTATGCATTGTATATTAATCTATAATATAAATAAAAATAGAGTCATTATAAAATTAAAATAAAATAATTAAAACTCGATTTTAAATCTTAAATTTCAAAATACGTGTATCTATTGGAAAATAGTTACAATTAAAATCAATTAAACATAATTAAATAGTGCATGTATTTTAAATTTGTTGTCATTAGCTAATCTTATTTAAATAAAATCATTTATAAAGTAAATGTTTCAAATCGTTTCTCAAATGTAGGGAAAATAAACTATACACTAATATTGACAAAGATAGAAAAATAATATTAAGATGAAAGTAAAACATGAAAGAATTATCAATTTATATTATATCTTATTTAAAAAGGAACTATTTATTTTTTTCACTATTAGGGTAGTCTTAAAAACTCGTGAACGAAATATGATAATGCATGTGTGGCAATGTTGGGAGATTCAACAATAGTTTATGTTGGACATTATATATCGATGGGTGTACTTTCAATCAACCGTGCTGAACAATAAATAGATAAATTGGTATGTTTTCGTTTTAAATATTTTTCATGTAATTTTTTTAAATAATTACGGCTTTAATGACATTTTCAAATATTTAGTTATCTTTTATGTCATTATCAAATATAAGTTATTTTTCAAAAGTATCACAGAAAAAGAAGGCATTAAAAAGCCATATTATAAGACAATAATAATGACCCTTATTTTAAGCGAAATGAGGATATCATTAAATAAGAAATCAAAGACAACATAGGTTACTTTGACGTTTAAAATTTTACAAAGAAAAATATTATTAATTTTATTTTGAATTATCAACCCAATGATTTTTTATTTAATTTTATTTATTATATAGTTCGATTAATAGTACTAAATATTATATTTTATCATTCAGTGCATTTATTAATGTTTGCCATAAAATACAACATTTTTTTTTTGTTAAACTAATAGAACATTTAATTTATGAATAATTTTATAAATAAGATTGGGTGATGTCAACAAATTTAAAATACATGTACGGTTTTTTTATTTAATTGATATTAACTACGACTATTTTTTAATAATTACACGTATTTTAAAATTCAACATTTAAAATCAAGTTTTGGTTTATTTACTTTTATAATTAGTCTAATTTTTATTTATATTACAATTAAATAAATAATAGAATAATTTATGTAACACATATTATCATTAAAAAAGAAACAATTTTACTTACATACCATTAACATGTATTTAAATCATAGGGTAAATAATATTTTCCAACCTGTACTATACGTGCTTTTGGAATTTTCAACCTAAAGTATTATTTGTTGTAAAATGCAACCTGAACTATATATACAATCACTATTTGCACGCTCGACCACATCTTGACCATACACGTGTCCTTTTTTGCTGTTGATCGAACGGTCAAAAAGTAGTCGAGCGTGCAAATAATTTTATATATGTAGTTCAGGTTGCATTTTACAAAAAAAAATACTTTAGGTTGAAAATCCCAAAAGCACGTATAGTACAGGTTGGAAAAAATTATTTACCC